AACAGTTCTCCAGTGAGCAGACTACAGTTGGAGTATAGCAGCCGTCGCGGAAAGAAGATCCGGACGTGTGTGTGATTGTGTAATTGGGAGCGTGTGATACAGTGATACAAAGCTCCCCTACTGTAAACGTGTAGACTACTGAAGACAGAGTGAACTGATTTGCGCATAGGGTTATAAAGTGTGAAACCCCGCAACAGTGGCAACAGATTAATGCGATTAGGGTTATAAAGTGTGAAACCCCGCAACTGTGTGATAAGTAATTGTAGCCGTTACTTGTAGATTGGTGAATAAACCAATTAACGATCTCTACGGCGTCTTCAGTAACGTAAACACGTTACAGTAGTATTCCTTGTGATTTATACACAGTCCTCCCTTGCAGCTTGAGGAGAATGGACTGAAGATGGACTATCCTCGAGTCTGGACTTCAACATATACAATGCTGGAACAGTTACTGGTACGGAAAGGTGTCATGGGATCAGTGCTGGATAACATTGAAACCGTGGACAGAGATTCCATCACATTGACTGAGGATGAGTGGAGGGTGGTTGAAGATCTAGTCATGGTGCTGGAGCCATTCAAGGTATGTAGAGGTGTTGCATTCTGTATGTTGTAATCTATGTGATACAGGAATTTCCTGGAGGAGTTGTCAGTTATTTATTTGACTCATCAAAGAGTTGCTGTAGAACCCGAAGTTTCATTACCACCATTATCAGGCCTATTATTCAACCCGTTCATGAAGCAGTTCATTCCAAGTCAAATTCTGCAACAAATTTACGCTGTAGAGCATATTCTCAATGTATATTTGAAGAGAAAATGTATCTTTTATGTGATAGTTGTCATTAGAAGCAGGACTGCAGGCTAAGAATGGATTTTTGGGAAATATGGTGTGTCAGTTTGCATGTTTCATTACAATGAGTAGAGTGTTTAGAATTTTTAGAGATGTGTTGAAAATTAAAGTAATAACAAATTATTTTTTTACGTATATTCACATGTCAGTTATGCTGTTGACAAATGTGATGTTCCATGCATTCCAGAAAGGTTTTAATCAATAGATCTTCCTTCTAATCATAACTGTTTATTATGGCATAACCATCCCAATGACATCAGGCCGCAGGATTCTCCCTTGTGCTGACTCTGGGGTTCTCGCATCTGCCAGCAGAGTAGGTAATAAGCAGGGCCTGGATTTTGATGACCTGAAAATATTTAAAAAATGACCGAAAAAATCCAGAAAATGACCTAAAATGTGACCCAAAAATGTAATATGCAGGGCCCTGATTTTGATGACCTGAAAATATTAAAAATAATGACCAAAAAATCCAGAAAAATGACCTAAAGGAGAAAAGAAAGAACACTTCGCTTCCATGTTATTCACATTTCAGAAAACATATGAAGAAAGATTCCCTAAAATGGCCAAAAATGACAAGAAATACCCTTAAAAGTCCAAAAATTTACCAAAAAATTTCCCCCCAAATGAAAAAATGACAAAAAAATTACCTATAAAATTTGCATTTCTGTAACCAGCAGCTCATATCCGAGATTTATATATTTAAGAGCATCGCATAGGATACAAGGAAAAAAAGATGACATGTCATCAAAATCCGGGCCCTGGTTATAAGTATGCCACAGCTAGTCGGCAGTTATGAGATCTCCTCAGCGGATACTGGTTGCTTTGGTAACTGGGATGGGAAGTTAACTCTGGAAGTTAGGAAAAACATTATCACTTGAACACAGCAAACAATATGTTTTTCTGATATGTACATATATGTATATTGCTGTTACACTTGGATAGTTATACAGTCACACTCTTAAGCTTACACATAGTTAAGTTACTCCTCTGTTTGAACTTCTCTGGCTGTAACTATGGTAACTCTTGTAATTATCATCACTATATAACTCTCTGACTCTCATGACTACCCTCTCTGTGTAGCTATATAACTCCCTATCCAAATATGTATCTCGAACTCCCATAACTATATATAGCTAACCCCTTTCTTCCAGCCGAGACTACTTTTATAACAGCCAGGTAACTCTGCTTATGGTCAGGTTTTAATAATGGGTGCCAGTCCAGCATTTAGCTTGTGGGGGGGAGACGTTATCTTTAAGCCTTCAATTCAGCTTTTTTTGTTACATGACATGCATTAAGTAGGGGTTCAAGTGCAATTGTGTTGACATTCCTCCAGGCAGGCTAAGTCCTATTATTGTCCATTAAGAGCGTAAGGTTCCCCCCTCCCACCCATGAAAACCCATATCACTAAAAGCATAACGGAGAATAGTATAGGATGTAAATTGTGGGTACTAATGACACTTGTATGGCCGCAGAAAGGATATTTTATAAACGAGTGTCAATAAATGACATGTAAATAATGCATTTGGACCGAAGAACTGTAAAGTTGGGGAATTCAGGATATTACAATTTGAGAAATTAAATCTTTAGAAAGGAAGTTAGCATTCAGATTCTTTTCATTTCATGCATCCTGTTGTGTTACAATATACAACCTCTTTATTAAACGTCACAACACACATCAAGGTTGATGTCCTGCTATGGCTCTGCTACAAGTTTCAGCTATCAATAGTCATCATCAGGCAAATACATGGTTAAACATATACACACCACTGAACTGCAGTACTATTAAACTGGAGACAATACTATTAATCATATGAAACACTTGACGTATGGGTTGTCTCTGCTTATGTAATTTAATAGTGCTGTATATGTGTGGTGCGCAGGGGTTCATGTTTATAAGTTTTGATTTATCTTTGTGTTTTATGGTGTTTTTACAATTGTTTATGTAATTCCTTGTTATTTGTTGTACTTTGCTGGTAATGTCATGTGACAACCAGTAAAGTTATTCACATTTCACATTTACGAAATCAGCAAACAAAATTTGCAACTGAATGATAATTTTACCGAAATGTTTAACCCTATATATGATGTAATAATTGATACATACAAAACATAATATACAGTTATACGCTCTTCCCCCCTACCTTCACTTCCGCATACATCTTATCTCTACCTCCCCCCTCCCTCCCTTGCATTGACTTTAATCTTACATCACCAAATCAGTCGTTTACATTCCCTACAGTACAGACAATACTTTGTAAGATGAGGCACTGACTAAACAGTAAGTAATATATACTATATCTTCAATATCAAAATCAATTGTTGATTATAACAAAAATTAATACCATTAGTTTCATATCATTTTCAGATTAATATTAACATCTACATCACGAGCCTCCTATACAATCTTATATACAAAAAGAAAAAATATAGAATATTCCAATTTGTCCATGGGAACGTACGAAATTACAAAACCAACGACTGATTCGATGTTATAAAATATAAATTAAAATTTTATTCTTGTTTTACAATATAACTTCTGTTTTATGTAATCTGATTATTTGTATTTTTTATGTCAAGTGTTCTATATGATTAATAGTATTGTATCCAGTTTAAGAGTACTGCAGTTCAGTGGTATATATAAGTTTAACCATATATTTGCCTGATGATGGCTATTGATAGCCGAAACATGTAGCAGAGCCGTAGCGGGGCATTGACCTTGATATGTGTTGTGTTGTGTTGTGACGGTTAATAAAGAGGTTGTATTCAGAATCTGTTAGAGAAGTTAGAAAACAGTTACAGTGATTTGGCCAAATACAAACAATGTATAGAACAAGGACAGCAAGGACATTGGAATTAAAATGTAAAACGAAAGATACATATGGGATGACAGAATAAGATGGTTCAGCCAAGTAATGGAAGACAAGAAGAAGAGAGGAAGGAGCTGATAAGAAATAAAAAAGGAAGAACTGTGGGAAGAAAGAAGCCTGGAGACTTCTCAACCATTGACGTATAAAATGGAAAGGATGCTAAAAGATGAAGACATGAGGAGAAACTTTGTAATATATCCTTTTTACAATTGTCAAAAAGTATAAGTTACACTAAAACAGGCTGACATAGCAGTAACATTTCTGACTTCATTTTGGATGTGCTCACTTTCAATAACAGCCAGGGTGGTGGCTATTCTGAGATTTTTTTGGATTTTTCCTTAGTCCCTCCAGCCAAATGCCAGGATAATCCTTCCAGATCCTTACCAATTCATCATTATTACATTTGGCACTTTATAGTATAGCTACTGACATTATAATGAACATGAAGCCTGGATGGGGGTAGGTGGCTCAAGATCATGTCTATTGGCAGGATTTTGTAATAATGATAAACCTTGGTAAAGGTTCGATTCTCATGGCAACAGAATATTGTGAACATTGTTACTTGTTTTAAATTGCTTTTATGGAAATTATGGCCTCACAATAATTTTGTTGCAGGTAACAATAATGACGCTCAGTGAAGAGAAAACACCACTGATATCATTACTGAAGCCTCTTCTTTGGCAACTGAACAGTTCACACCTGAAACCAAAAGAAGGTGATTCAGAAACAGCCAGATCTTTCAAGGAGGCACTGTCAGAAAGTCTGTCAGAAAGGTGCGTGATCATGTCATTACCCACTGACTTTTTTTTTCTGTCCACATACAGGAACTTGAACACTTCAGGAACTACAACAGCAATCTTCATAATCTCAGTGAATCTGAGTTGAGCCATTAAAATGTGAAGTGATAAAATTGAGATAAATCTAAAAAAATAACTGATTCAAATAAATCTGTAACAGTTATAATTACGATTTGAGTATAAATCTGAACCTGCATGCCATATAAGTTAACTGTGGTCAGAATTCCTGGCTACAGATCCAGAGGTCCCGGGTTCGATTCCCGGCGCTACCAGATTTTCTGAGAAGTAGTGGGTCTGGAATGGGTTCCACTCAGCCTCGTGAGGATAATTGAGGAGCTATTTTAAGGAAATAGCGGCTCCGGTCTGGAGAACCGAAATTAACGGGCGTGCAGATTCGATGTGCTGACCAAGTGACACCCTCAATCCGCTAAAGTTGGCACTAACTTCGCCGACAAGTGGCGGTCGCTCGGTCGGTATAGTTCGCTTGTGGACTAAAACCATGGAGTTTGGTTTTGTTTGTGGTAAGCACTCCACTCACAGTTACATTCTTGGAAAACAACTGTGATAAAAGATGCAAACCTTTTATGGGAACCAGGCATTTAGACTCAGGCTCACATCTGGGAGATTTGTCATCTGTATAAACCACCCAGTTTATAAGAAATCAAATGGAATGGCACAACAAAAACTGAACTGAAGTTTACAGTGCGGGAAATTAAATTCTAACTGGGTAGCAAAACACTTGGCAGGAAATGATCCTTATCAGAGTGAGCGGAGAAGGTTATCAGACTGAAATAACAGATAACATGCCCAATGTGTGTTATTGCCAAAGATAGTTCAAGTTAATAATTTTGAAACCCAGTAGTTTGTATGTGTATTTTGAATTGTCATGGTAACTAGCTCGGGAAATTCTTTGCTAACTTTTTTTTGATCTGTTGGTATGCATGACCTTTATTTTAAATTTATCTTAATATAATTTACATTTGCTGTACAGTTGTGCTCATTGTGTAACATAATCTGTTAACAGTTCTATATGATCTTCAGGAATACTGTTGATGCTGCCTAACAATACCTGCCTCACTTTGATTTTCAAATTATAGATTTATTAATAACTTAAAAACAAATTAGGTTGTAGTTATGTAAACTCCATGCCGTAGGTACAGTGACACAGCTGTGAATCTGCTTCTACAAATGGCCACTACACTGGACCCTCGCTTCAAATTGCTACCCTACGCTTCAGAAGAAGATAAGAACATCATCTCCACTTCCATGAAACAAATGCTTATTAAATTCATTGGGGAGGAAAGAGGGAGGAACTCAGGACCAGCTGAGGAGTCTGCAAGCAAAAAAAGTCGCCTTTCTGGTAAGAAAAGCACAGATTCACATTCCATGAGAGAGAATTGACAAGCAGGTTAGCTCAAGGCTAATTCATCTGACATATTATGAAGCACCCACTTTCAATTGTGTTCAGGATACTGGCTGTTCTGAGATTTTTCATAATTGTCCTGCTGGTACATTGCCTAGAACAGTTTCCTGTTCACCATACATAATCATCCATCACATAGTTGATACCTGTGAACAAATGCAGCAACATTGAAAGAGATTAGAGAAAGCAGAGCCCCTGCTTATCACCTGCTTTCACGCTGGTTCCTTGCTTGGCTTATCCTTCAACACTGAAGATGGAGGCAATATATTCCTCTGAACATAATCACCACTGTGAGAACCTCAAATCCTATGATATTAGAGTCAGTTCTGTGTATGACATTTTCATAAATAGCTATACTATTAAAAAGTGTGCATAATGGATTTATCAGTGTGTAACACCTAATTGCATGTTCCAGAGGTTGTGGTTCAGTGAGCAGCACTCCTGCTTCAACAAGTCATGGTTCAAATATCAGTCTGCTATGCTGAAATTTTCCTCATTCTTTCCGGGCACATGTTGGGATGGTGCCTGAAATTAGACAAAGAGTACTTCCTTCTACATCTTTTTCCATTCATTATTCACTTATCATCCAATCATAGATGCTCTGTTATCTAAGGCACTGATAGAATTAAATAAACGATAAGTAAATAAGCACAACTCAAAGAATGGTTAATTTATGGGTGTCATGTTCTTTTCAAACAGTATGAGCAAGGAGAAGCTTTTTGGACAATGTAGTAACTAGTGATGAATCCCGAATGCACTATTACATGCCAGAAGGGAAGCACAAATGAAAAAAAATTCCATACCCAAACATCAGCCAGGAATGTGTGTACCTCTGTTCTGGTATCAGCTGGCAACTTGAAGTGCCAGGGTTTGCCAACCACTTATGTGTGCTTGCATCACGCCGCATTAAGAGCTGGATGGTACATAATCTGAGCTACTTTGAATACACCATAAATAAATAACTACACTGGACATGATACAGGAGATTAGATTTCTAGAACTCTGTATTCAGTAAACACAATCCTCCTCCACCTTTCCTAGCCACAGAAAAAGGCATTATGAGGCCATCACTTCTCACTAGATGAAGTCAAGATGACAGTCTATAAATATAACAGGAACTACAACGGTGACTGAAAGTTTTTTTTTCCTCCATATTGTGATTAAGACAGCTGTTATTCAACTTTTGCTTTTTTTAATATCATTTAATACCTATAAGTGTAACGTTTCAACACTAAAGATTTCAACTTACAGAACCTGAAATTCTGTTTCTCCACAGGCATGGAATTCTTACTGGGAGACTTGTGCTCATCAAAGACAGGAATGCCTGCTGAAGAGCGAGCCAGTCTGGAACTAGTTCAATACCAGTCAGAAAGTACAGCTGCCCTTGACTACTGTCCCCTGCAGTGGTGGGCAAAGGCTGCAGCGAAGTGTCCCAACCTTGCACGCCTTGCCCGAAAGTACAATTGTGTGCCAGCATCTGCCACACCTCCTCACCGCATTCCACAGGAAAATCAGGTCCTGTTTGACATGAGGAGGGCATGTCTGGGACCTGAACTTGTGGACAAACTTCTGTTTCTCAATGGAAACCACACTGTGTGAGACACTACTGCATCAGCCAATGGGACTGGTGCAAATTGTGGAGAGAACACCCAGGAAGTGGGTACAAGTCATCTGTACAAGACCTCAAAGATTGAAATCGAAGTAGTCTGTGCAGTACACTCTTTCTTTGGGCATCCTTCCACAGTAAAGGTGCAGAAATGGTATGAGGAAATTATGGAAGGGAAACAACAAATGAAGGAAGGTTTGTCAAACTTTGCCAAAATATAGATAAATGAATACGTCCCTATCATGACAGAAATTGGACAAAAAATGTAATTGTCTGTAATGATTACAATTAGCAAGATCATCTTTCATCAACACTTGCCCTGAATTAAGAGATTCCATTCATATCCAGTACCAAATGGCTTATGTGCACAGTGGTTAATGTGCATGGCTTTTCCTTCTCCACTTCAAAACCACCATACTAACACGTCTCAGTGCCACATGCTTTCTCCTTTGCCACTGTCTGATACTGTGATATTTTATTTTTACAAATATTTTTTTCTGAATTTGTTCACACCATATTTATATGATACACAGCATGATTCTCCTGATAGAGGAAATCTGAATTAAAGGACATGAATAAAGCAGGAAGAATTAAAATACCCATAATTCAACATCTGTATCTGGTCAGTATTATATGCACAGATTGCAATATTGGCAGTCTCTCTCACATATCAAAACTCAAGGAATAAAAGGTTTAATAGCAAAGGAACTATTGCTTTTAAATAATATGCTGTTAAGAGATGCCATGGATCATTTTGAATTCCAAGAATTTCCTCTGTCTTTTCAATACTTGACACTCTTCACATAGCAGATGAGTAAACTATTTGCTCGAATTTCATAAAACCGTATCTTAATGGTAATGAAACCAGTCTGTTTGCCTGTAAGACTTAATCTGCTGGTACATTAGAATGATGAGTGGATTCTTAAGGCACATCAGCATCAACAGCTATATACACCTGAATAAAAATTAAGGTGAATACTATTTTATAAAACCTAGAATAAATGTAATCAAATGGAACTTGTGTCAAACTGTAAAATGGTCTGAATAATAGCAGGTTAAATTTAGAAAACAGTAATAAACATTAAGAATTGGCTAGTGACTTTCTAAAACAATGAAGATGAGATTTCCTAAAATGGTGAGTGCAATACAGTGGATTAAATAAACCAGTGAACCCTATACCACAACATAGGTATCTTACGGTGATTACTTCCTAATATGTCAAGTAACTGCACATCAGTGAAAAGACTCACCACAACAAACCTATCAGGGTATCATGCTTTCAAATTTTGATGCACTGTTCTAAAATATCTGGCAAAGGAATCTGTTATAACAGCCAGAAAACCCAATATTTTGTGAAGAAACCCAGTAAGAGCATACCATGGAGAGCTAATAGAGTGCACTATCAGTCTTAAGACAAATATCTGATTCATTTATATTCAGAAGCACATAAACCTGGTTTACTGTTTTTTATTGGAGTCCATCGTAACACAGCATACTGTGATATGGGGTCAACTTGTACTTTAAGATTGTAGGAAGAATATTTTTGAACACAGAGAACTTTCTGTATCTTTCACTCAACTGTGAAGCTAGAATCCTTAGGAAGGGATTCAAGCAAGATGGGTAACTGTTCTTTGCTGACCAATTCATCCAACATTACAGTAAAATTGTTTTTTTGTCACTTTCATAATTATAAACATCTATGTCACTGTCAGTGCTTAGTTACCTTCCTGGACCCTGTATTCATGGAAACTGCAATTATTATTGTCACGTGTTGGGTGTATAACACGACAAAAAACTTCACGCCATTCTGGATCTAGCGAATTTATTCCACATTAACTCTTACACATATACAATTCACAATCTCTCAACTACTGCCATCGGCAGTATTATCACAATTACTTCTCCTGCCATTCACTCCGACAAATGCTAGACTGCAACCGACTCGGCGACTTCATGATCCGCGCTGTGTCACGCCTCATCACACACACTGGTCACATACTGCTCAGCCAGCTTTTTATACCGTTCCCTGTTACATCACAGTGGGAAGTGCTGTTATGTCACCACGGAGGAGGGGGGGCGGAGTGTTGACTGGCCTGTTACCGTAGCAGGGACAGTGCTCTGATGCTGTTATGTCACCGCTGGCGGGGGAGGGGGTGTCCTGCATAGCTCAAATATGTCATACTGCACCCTCCTTAAGGCACTTCATCCCGAATAGCCTAACAGTGCATCCCCATTCCTTTTCTTTGAAGGCTGTTCTTGCAACGTCTTCTTTTTGTCAGACTACTCCTCTTGCACTGACTATTCTCCGGCCGTTACATCTGCTCCCTTCTTAACTCTTTGACTGGTGCGGGCGTGTTTTAACGCCCAGACGATGCCAGCCGTTCCCTGGCGTTGGCGTGTTTTAACACTTTGACAATCTCTTCCCTTCTTTGCTCTCTTGGCACTCATCAACCAAAGACATATATATGTCTGTATATATGTTTGTAAAGAACCCTTGTAAACTTTGTGGGGG